GCCGAGCCGCTTCTTGCATCTCACATCCGTCGCCTGGCTGACTTCTGGCATCTTTCCCCGACTGCAAATCTACACTCCTTGATGAAGCTCACTGCCGTGACGGTCTCGTACGCCGGTTTCTTCCGTTTTTCCGATCTGATTCGCATCCAGTGGCACGAGATCCGCTTCCTCCCTTCCCACATGGAGCTTTTCCTGGAAAAGTCCAAGAACGACCAGTATCGAGAGGGCCGTTGGGTTCTGGTGTCTCGCGTCGGCGGTCCCTACTGCCCGGTCGCTCTCGTCGAGAAGCTTCTCGCTGTCGAAAACTACTCGCTGTTCGGCCCGGATGGGCTCATCAGAAATGTCACCATTTCTCCTCCTCGCCAGCCTCATCTCAGGTGCGACCAGCCGTGCTATAGCACGGTCCTCGGGTGGTTCAAGGAGGGCGTCAAGTTGCTCAACCTGAACCCTGACGATTACGGCACGCACTCGGGGCGCCGCGGCGGAGCGACGCGCACCGCGAACACCGATGTCCCTGATCGCCTCTTCAAGGAGCACGGCGGCTGGCGCTCGGAGCGGGCGAAAGACGGCTACGTCGTCTCTCGACTTCAGGCACGTCTTTCGGTAACTCAAAACCCAGGCTTACAGCCTGGGGTGTCCCTGTCTGAGTTAGAGGAGTTTGAGCGCGCAGCACGTTTCGACGCCTAGCCCGAACTTTCTCTGCCTCTGACTTCTGTGCACATCCACGCCCGCACTTGCCTAGCAATCTGCGTTCGTCATTCGTGTGCACTCATGCAATCTGCCTGCGGCATATAGCAACAAGAGAATTGTAGATTCTCGGCGTTTGTAATTAGCCGAGAATCGCGGTTCTCTTGGCGCGAACCGTGCCGCGGCCGCGGCGCCGCGGAGCGGCGCGTCTTGCTCCTTCAAAGCTTTATAAGCGCACGAAGCTGCTCGTTTCATTCAATCTGCTTCGTGCATGCTTCACAGACACGCTACTAAGCAATTGCGCAAAATTCCCGCCCTCCCGCGCCGTTCTGCTGCCTGCATTCCGTTCTCGCAGTTCCGGCGTTCCGTCGTCGCTTGCCGCGGTCCCGCCCGCGCCTCGCCGATTGGTGCCGACTACCTCGCGGCCGCCTGCGCGCTCGAGTCCGCTGCGCCCAACCGAAGCGGGTGACCTTTTTCCCGACCACCTATGGCGTGGCCTGGCGGCAAGCAGCCCGACCCGGTGGAGGGTTTTTTAATGGCCCCGTTTTGGCTGGGGGTAGTTCCTCATTAGACAGCCGTTTTGGCACGGGGTAGTCGGCACCAGATCGCAGAGTAGTTAGTTCCCTTCGTATACAGTAGTTTTTGCGCTAGCAATTAGCAGCCCGACATTAGGCCCACGGCGTAGTTAGTAACTCTTCGTTCGCAGTTCGGGACGGGTGTCCCCTGTGCGGCGGTTGCCAACCGCTGCATAGTTTCGTACTTGTCACGACCGAGTTCAGATAGGCTAGGAGCTAGCCATTGATATAAACTGAACTCGGCACTCTTAACACTAGAACCGTAAGTAAATGCTCACTTTAGTGAGCATCTGCATTCAAGCTTCGGACATCATTTCTGTGTTGGTTTTTTGACTTTTTGATGCAAAACAAGTTATGGCATTGCAAAACATCATGTTTTGGACTAAAACCGCTCTTGAAACTGAAGAAACTCGAAAACGACCTTCAATGGGGAAGTCAATATAGAAGATTAGTCGGACAAATATAGTGTCATTTTTACCAGGAGAATTAAGTGCTCACTAAAGTGAGCACTTGTGGTTTTGTTGTTTTGGGGGGTCAGATGAAGAAATTTCTCAAACCCACTTGGTACATGGTCAACCCAGACCCTATGGGTCATAACTACCCCCTCAACGGGTTAGGTTAAGTTCTTAACCCAAGATCTACAAACCCCATTTGTCAATTCTGACCCTTTTGAAACATAGGGACTTGGGTACACAAATTGTGTTGAATCGAGTTGGACAGCGTAGCCTGATGGTTCTTGAGGGTTGGTTTGGCTCTTACCGAAATACCATACCCAAACTCTTTGAATAACTCACATTATGTAGCAGCTGCTAACCAGCTTATTTGACCTGGATAAAACTGGTGGATTTGCATGCATCCAAGATCCCCCCAACATGTCGAAGTTCTGTAGAAGTGGATTTCTGGGGTCTTTAGGGTGCCTTGGACACACAAACGTCAAAAAATGTCAAGGAAAGTCTGTTTACCTAGTCAGAATCGTATTGCTTTGCTCTTTAACACTGTTTCAGGAATAAGGAGGTTTATAGGATAAATGCTTCCGGAAATTGCGCGGATTCTTCCATTTTTGGTGTCTTGGGTCCCTTATAGGTACATAAGTCCACTTATGCCTTGAAAACTTTCCATCATATATATTGACCATAATAAGCGGTGACTTTCAATAAGTGCTCACTAAAGTGAGCATGTTCACTAAAGCACTCACAATCTGATCAGGAGGTAGGGAGCAACTGAGCAAGGGCGCTTCTGGTTGCTTAGGGCGACAGGAAGGATGGTGGTTTCCTTTGAGGCTTGAGCACAGGAGGGCACCCTGTTGCTGACGTTGCCTCTTCCAATATGTTCTGAACAAGATGGTGCAAGAGGACTGCAGTCTCTGTGGTTAACTCTGCTGGATTTTATATCTAGCAATAAGCCGCCATTCTGGAGTTTTCAAATCCCTTATTCAATATTCAACGTTGCTGTTTCAAGGCAGTCTCTGAACGTCACAATGTCCGCTCCTCTCACTGCAACAATAGGTTTACAGAAAAATATCAAGAAGACCTCTTCAAGAGAGGGGCTCAGGTCCAGTCGCTCCGCAGATGGTAACGACGAGGCCGTAACCAGTAAACCCAAGGAGAGCCCCCTTAGAGGTAGAGTACACAGACGATACTCTGGATGATCTCTTAGAAGAGGAAGATGGCAGCATGTTCTGGTGCTATGTACTATATCCTGCCGCCCAAGCTGATCTTAGGCACCAGATTATAGCCCAAGTCCACCATATGATCAAGTCTGATCCAGCTTTCTCAGCAGACTGCATCAGTTTGGTAGAGTTTGATACCCCAGCCCCTGACAACCCTTCACTCCATAGAGTTTATGCTGCTTTCTCTCGGGAAGAGCATCTTGCAATCTTCCAGAGCAAAAAGACTGTAGATATTCTTGTCAACGGGGTCAAGAACATCTTCCAAATCTCTCAGCCAGGCATTGACTGGGCCAAGAGTTCAGAGTCGGGCGTGATCCGTGTTTAGCTTAAGAAGCTTCCGAAGAGCTTGGGGCCGGGGGATATCCTGCGAGCTCTTGATTCGAAGACGTTTGGGACTCCCAGGCCTTTGGTGAAGCAGGCCAGCAATGCGCGCTTCATGACGCACAAGGGTGGTGTGGTTCCTCGCGCCATGCTTGTTGCTGATGTGGTCCCTCACGATGAGGACCCTGACTGCAAAGAATTGCTTCCCATTGTCAGGATCCCTGTAGGAAAGGGTGCAAATTCATCTAGAGTTGTAACTCTCATCCTGGGGTGCAGCAAACACACGTGCGATATCTGTTTGAAAGCGGGGCACCTGGCGGAGGTCCATGAGAAGTTTGCTGACAGAAGCACTGCGGGGAAGAGGAAAGCCTCTGGCAATCTGATCCACGCAGCCAAGCGGCGGGAAACTGCGCCTCCGTCTACTCTTCTGGCGGGAGTTCTAGAAGATCCTTTCACGGAGTTTGTTGAGGGGAAAAGTCTGAACCAAGAAGCCTGGCGCTGCAGCGCTTGTGAGGACAAATCTGGCGGGCCTGCTTTCGGGCTCAGTTACACTGGTGCGATCGCACACATTGCCTCGGACAGGCATCTGGAGAAGCTTGCAAAAGGTGAACTCTTCTTTGTTGTGCTTATGACTGTTTTCAGCTTTGAAATCCGCTTCTTACATAACAACTTGACATGAGGTTTCATAAAGGAAGATGGTGGTCCTCAAAATCTCCTAGCAAAACTGCTTCTAGCGTTCATGAGTTCTCTGCTTTCTCTCTAAATGTGAATGGCCTTAACAAGTCTTCTAAAAGGAATTGCCTGTCGTCCATGCGAAAGACACATAATTGGTCAGTCCTCTTTTTGTCTGATACACGGATACACACAGAAAAGGACGTCTTGTTTCTGAACAAGAGCCTCGGATGCAAGTCAAGTTCATGGAGCCTAGGCACTCCTCATGTAGGAGGCACAGCCATACTTTTCTGCCAAACCGTTCAAATGCTAGCAACTTTTAGTGATCCAAATGGCAACTTCTCACGTGCTGACTTCGTTTGGGAAGGGGAGACCTTTTCTTTTGTAAGCATTTATGCGCCTGCAGATCCTAGTAAAAGAAAGAGATTTCTGTCGGAAACATTGGCTACACACTTGCAAAAGCACCCTCTTCAAGAGATATGTGTCTTTGCCGGCGATTTCAACTTCGTTGAAAATCCTCAGCTAGATCGCAAGTCAACCACTAATGCGGGAACAACAGGTCTTGATGAATGGCTCGATAGTACGGAGTCCTTTGTGTTGATAGACTTGTTTCGCAACTATCATCCAATCAAGAAAGCTTACACGTTCAGGTCAGCTGCACATAAGATGGAAACAAGAATCGATCGTTGCTACGTCAGTCAAGATGCTCTTTCTTTCACAAAGAGCTGTTGTCATGTTCCATTAGCATCTGTCATTTCTGATCACTCAGCTGGAGTTGAGATTCACTTTAGAGGCATCAACTCTACTCCAAGAGGGCCATCGTACTGGAAATTGAATGTTTCTCTGATGCGCCGCCCTGGTTTCACCAAGTTAGTGAAACAACTCATTGCTGACTTTCAGTCCTCTCGTGAAAAGTATCCTGACTACAGTACTTGGTGGGAGATGCTCAAGTTAGCTTTACAATTGAAGCTCAAAGATTATAGCAAACAGCAATCAGTTCGAAGAAAGAAAACAGTTCTAACAAGGGAATCTCAACTCAAACAGGTGAACCAAAGCCTGTCTGAGTGTCCTGATGATACACATCTGCTTGAGCGAAAGGTGAGGTTGGATCTTCTGCTTGGAGAATATTATGAGGACATTCATGAAGCAGCTCGTATAAAGTCTGGTCTTAAGCATTTGGTTGACGGCGAGAGACCGACCAAATATTTTTGTGCATTGGGTAAGCATCGAGGCGAAAAATCGGCGATTAGCAGCCTTATTGTAGAAAAGGATGGTAAGGAAACAAAGTTGACCCACATCGAGGACATACTTGAGGAGGTCTCGTCCTTTTATGCTGATCTGTACTCCTGTAAACTTTCAAACGCCCAAAGAGATCTTGGTTCGAAGTATCTGGGCGAGACGGTTTCTGAAAGGATTACTGCCAAGCAGAAAGATTTGTGCGACCAGCCAATTTCAGCAGAAGAACTTGGAAAAGCTCTGAAACTTTTGTCGAATAGCAAGGCTCCTGGTATTGATGGTTTGCCAGTAGAATTTTTCAAGATGTTCTGGAACGAACTAAAGCAAGATTTTTTGCAAGTTCTCAATGAGAGCTTTTTGAAAGGTTTCTTGCCTGACACAATGCGAATGAGTATTATAACGTTGATTTACAAAAAGAAGTTAAGAGAAAATATTCGTAATTATAGACCAATATCTTTATTGTGTGCTGACTATAAAATAATCGCAAAACTCCTTGCAGAACGGATGAAAGTTGCTCTTCCTACCATAATTCATCATGATCAAACCGGATTTATGAAAAACCGTTATATAGGGGAAAACATCTCGTTGTTTCTGGATGTTCAGAAACACCTAATTAGTGACTCTAAACCTGGCCTAACTTTTATTGCCGACTGGGAAAAAGCGTACGATCTTATGGACAGAGGTTTTATAAAGCAGAGTTTGACTCAGTTTGGTTTTGGTGACTACTTCCTGCAATGGTTCTTGGTGCTACACGCACAATCTGTTGCTCGTGTAACTATTAATGCTTTCTTATTAGAGCCTTTTGCGGTTGAAAGTGGTGTTAGGCAAGGTTGCCCATGGGCACCTTTTCTGTTTTTATGCGCAATTGAACCCCTAGCGTGTGCTCTGCGAAGCTCTGATCTGGAAGGCTTGGAGCTGCCAGACGGCAAAAGGGTAATTTACAGTGGTTATGCAGATGATACAACTTTATTTCTCTCAGGAATTGAGGATCTCTCGCAGGCTATCCCCATCTTTAACAAGTACGCTTCCGTTTCTGGCATGAACTTGAATTGTGACGGTTGGACAGGGTCACACGCTGCCTGTCTA